GTGAAAATTATAAAAGAAACAATCAGTAAAATAAATTTGAAATACATAAACATACCATTCACCTATATCATTTCTCTATTTAAGCAATTTTTGAATAATATTTATTAATGAATTTGAAAAAAAAAATACCAGCAAAGGGATTTTGTTGCAGCTAAAAACGGTACTTCGATTAGCAGATGAAGACCTAGAAAATGTTACCGTACACGGAAATAGCTTTGTTTTTCGATGCAATCAATCGGGCACTTCGAAATCGCTCAGCAAATATACATTCGATCAAATTTTTGCCTCAGATGCTACCATTGTGCGTAATTAAATTAGTAATTAATTGCTTAAATTTTTAATTCCTTAATCTATTATAAGGGAAATGAATGCAATCATCGATATTTTGATAAGTATAACGATAATACTACACTACACAAAAAATTACTTTATTTCATAAATTTTGGTTATAATTTATGCTTTCCACACATTGTGATAGTTATAGACTTTGGTAAATTGCATTTTAATAACTTATGATAAAATGGTAAGAAATTATGATAGAATCATGATATTGCAAAGATCGTTGTAAAAGAGTGTAAATATGATGAAATGATGATATTGTAAAGGTTATGAAATTGTGATGAAATGAAAATGCAAATAGAAGTGATCATTTTCAGCAACAAATATGTTCAGTTTGCTTGCCGGATCTATTGCAAACATGTTTCAGTGGTTCTGATGCTTGTTTCATCTATTTTGGTGCTGTATCAAAAGGTACCGCTTCTTTTTTTTCAATTTATTATTTAATTAACGGAGAATTTTCTTGATCTTACATTTGATAAATGAATCATAAATGAGGAAATGTAATGTAAGCTGTCGCAAGTTGAATTTTATCAAGAGATCATGTAATCGTAATTTTTATTGCTGACGTAAATGATTACGATATTTTATTGGTGTCTGCTATGCGATGAGGATAAGCAATGATTGAGGATGATTCGGGAATAGTAATAGGTAGGTGTAGATGACAGATGCTTGATGATGCCGAGAATGTGACATATGCGATCCATTTTATGTCTTTCTCTCTCATTGACATTGTAATTGTCATCATTTGAATTTTAATTATTTAAAGGAGATTTTGCGAGTTATCAAAATTATTAATAAATCAGCACATAAAAGTGTGAGTGTTTGAGATTGTGAAACAGAGAAAATTTAGTTGACATATTTCAAAATGAATTTGTAATTTAGAGAAGGTATACTTACTGCAGGTTTTTAGTGGATTTCTCGGAAGAAATGACATCAATAAAATAACAAAAATTTTCAGAACAAATTGAATTGCTTTCATTCAATTTTTTTAAAAAAAAAAAACAAAAAAAACATTTGAACATTTCTCCATCAAATTTATTTTCTGCAAACTTTTTATATTTAAAAAGAATTTCATATATTCTAAATTTATTGTTTCCAGCTAAAAATGAGCTGCTTTATTCGCAATACGGTCGACAGTCCGATTTCGCAACAATACCAACAGTAAGCACAACTTCAGACTTAGCTGGTCCATCATCTGGAATACAATATCCGGGTATTTTCCCATCTGCTCTGCTACTCACATTCCGATTAATATCCGAATTACGTCAACGTCGACCGGATTTTCATCATTCAGTTCGTATTTCGGCACTTTATTATTCTCAACGTCGTAATCTGCTCATCGATCTTCTTGCTTCACTTATTCTACCTGGTTAGTGATGAACTACCGTTCTCTATATATGATGTATGTATATTCAAAAATCTATTAAAAAAAAAAAAGAAATCCATTATCATCCATCAAATCTTTTTTCACGCGTTTGACCCCTTTTCCATCCATTTTCTTCCAGTACTCAAAAGTATATCTTTAATCTCTTATTTTCCTAAAAAAATACACGTACACACGCACACACATACACATACACACACATGTACACATACACGCACGCACGTACGGTACGCATACATGCACACCATAAAATTTTGTTATTTTTCGAATCATTGAACGAAAAATCGCATAAATTTTAACAACAAAAAGGCCAAAATCATTAATCAAGGATGTGTGTGCGGGAAATGTATTCAATAGGATAATTAGTGGCTTGCGCTAAAAATATCTCCTTTTTTTTTCATTTTTGTTTTCTTTTAACAGTTGGTCCATGAAAAATTGATAAAAAAGCCCTCAAAAATCAATGTTTTTATTAAGGAATTTTGAAATACCAAAAAATTGTAAAAGAATTTTTTAAATTTAAAAATGAAAAAAATATTGCAAAAATCTAACAGGGAAAATTTAGTTTTAATAGATTTTAAGACAAAAAAAATTTTTGGAGATTTTATTTTATTGATCGTTTCATATTCAATGATCATTACTATCATAGCATTTCTTCACAAATTCATTCATTCTGCTAACTGATTGATGAGTTTGAATCGGAGAATTTATAATTTCAGTTACCTCACAAGATGTTATCATTCGAGAAGATTCTGTATTGGGAATCAAAATTGAGAATCATAGCGAATTACGGGTGGATTCGGTGGAGCAAGCAATGCTGATGATCGATGATATTATTCAGGCTAGACTAACAGGTGAACCTCTTAAAATCTCATCAATTTAAGTTTAAAAAAAAAAAAATTTTTCACACATAACAGCAAATTATTAAAGACAAATTAATTCTAACATGATCCCCATAGAAATGAATATTCTTTTGTAAAAAGGTCAAGAGGGCATTTTATGAGGGAGATATCTTAAAAGTATGGATATAATTTTCAAAAGATATGATGATTAAAAATTCTGTGTATATAAAAAGACATGGATAGCATTACTGTTCATACTGTAAATCTGGCATCCTCAAATAGTGGCTATAAACTTTATGTATGGTTGGTTTGTTTGCTTCTATGAATTTTATGATTTCATTTCATCGAAAGGTTTATGCCGCTCTCCCTCATTCAATCATAAAAATTTCTTAAGCTCACCAGGTCAAAGTTCCTACGAGTTATCATAAAAAGTTGAAAGCTGCGGAAGGTTTATAGCGTATTAAAGTTGTACGCAGCAGTAAAATGCCTATAATTTCGTAAAAATGTTTATAATTCCTTAAAATACTCATAAAACTAAAATGAAAATTTTTATTGTCTGATGTGTCTTTATTTCCTTCATTTTGATAACTGAAATATTCTTCGAAATACATTAGAAAGATAGAAGAAAAAAATTTCCCTTTTTTATCTTTTATCGCGAGTTATTTGATCCAATAATGACAGATTGGATAATGGCAGGGGAAATTTCAGTTCAAAAAAAAATTATTAACAACAAAAAGAGGACTTATTAAATAAATATGATTAGCGTCAAAATATCATGCTTGAAATTCTAGCACTATCGTGCAATGGTCATTTAAATATTTGTTTCATTTTAGAAGATGAAAATGAACAACGATGTGGACATCTATTCTTTTATATCAATTTGTACAGGCAAGTTTATTTTCTTTTTTTTATTTTTGAAATAAATTTTCTTACGAAAGATTATTTTCCTTTTTTATATAATCGTAAATGGTTTCGTTATCTATGAAACATTTGGTAATTTTTTGCATTTTGATAAATTGTAATTGGAAATTCATTGAACTGACCATGCATAGTCTTGGCGAATTTTTACTAATCTTAACACAATTGATATCAAAAATAAAAATCATCTCCTATCCTCTTATTTCTTTTTCACCAAATTGTTTTTGATAAAAATTTTTATAAAATTCTTTAGATACGTCTAGTATTGAGATATTTTGTTTTCTTAAAGTTTGAATTACAAAAAAAGAACCTTAATTTTTTGTAAAAAATATAACTTTTTGAATTTTAACAAATATTCCGTTTAGTATTTTAATCAAAGAAATATCGAAAAATATATCATTAATCAAAAAAAAAAAAGTGCTGTATGATACACAAAATTTTTTCCCTCTTTATATCTTCTCTTCTCCGTTCTCCAATTGTTAACATTTTCCTTTTTCCATATTTATTGGCACCAGTTTGTCTCATATTAAATGGATTTTCTCTTGTTACAATAAGTCATGAATTGTGTGATATATCTTTTCGGCTGCCAATTAAATTTAATTTTGTAAAAGTTTATTCTAACAACAACTGTTCGCACAGAACGATTTATTTCACACTTTAAACTGTTGGCAAATGTTTTGATACTAATTCACTGATATGTGATCAAATTGCAACATTCACAACGAGTATCATTGACGAAATTTATACTTGTTATATTCTATTTTAATTTTCAATTGCTACTATTCCATTTAATTATAACAAATTTCAAGACAGCAATAATTCAATGTGCCTTAAAATTCACATAAAAATTTATTCAAAAATTTTCAAAATTACAATTATTTTTTGTGTAAACCACAATGCATACAGTTTAAATTATTCCAAAAAAAAAAAAACAAAATTTCTTTATCACTTTTTTACTAAAATTACTACAATCATTTCAGGTATAAAAAAAATACATCCCAGTTAATTGGTGGCCGATCACGATTATGTCTGGTAGATTTAGGACTTGGTGAGCGAACATCAAAAGGTGATGTACAAGCAATGACTATGCCTGTTATCACCAATCTATTAGTTGCATTATTTCAAGGACAACGTTATCTTCCAAGCAGGTTTCTTCTTATCAAAAAGCAAAAAAAAAAAATTAGTTTCATTAAGTTTTTTTTTTTCTGAATCATAAATTATCAATGTGATAAAAATTTATCACATTGTTTATCTAATAGAATAAATGAAGAATTGATATCACAACATCTGTTCATTTTATCCATTTAACTTAAATTCATCTGTCAATGTGTTTTTTTTTTCTAAATTTTCAGACAAAGTCCATTGTGTATGTTATTAAAAGAATCATTGGGTAGTGTACAAGTGAAAGCATCACTTCTCTTCGCTTCACTTTCCGATCGAATTTCGGAATCGGAAAATATTTTACAAATGATGTCCAAAATACAACGTGCTGCTAAGCCACGAAAAACACATCGTGTATGTAATTGTAACTGCTAACTTGTTGAAGCACAAAAAGCACTTTGTTTTTTTTTTTTTTTTTTTTTTNTTTTAAAGAATAAGTGTAAAGTGAAAATTACTATAAGCAATATTCCAAAACTCTGATGCAATATTTCAGCCTATCCACAGATAGCCTAATTTTGAATTTTTCCCAAAATAGTAAGCAAAACTAAACGGCTTTATAGGCTCTTTTGAGAGTTCAATTAATTTTGCATTCAAAACTACTTCAAGAAATTGATCAATCAAAATTAGGTCCTGCAAAGAAATTATACAATTTTTTGTTATTCTACATAAAACTATGGGAGTGAAATTAGAAATAAATTTGTCCAAGAAATCTTTTATATGGGAAAGTGAAATATTGAAATAATCCTTCCCATTTTTAATCTCGCTTTTTTTAGCTTATAAATTCTAGAAAAGACAATTCTGATATATCGTGCAGATTATTTGTTATTCGTTGCTTTTATTACATCTACCAAAATTTTCTTTTCATCGTCAGCTGTCCCACTTATTTAAGCGGCAAGCATTAAATATCAATCCTCTATTATTGCTATTTCCTTGCAAAATTTTCATTTATTATTGTTATTTTGATCTAATTTACCAAACTTGAATTCTCATTTTTTTCACACTTCAGGAATATTTAAGAATAAATCATTGCGGAAAAACATTTCTCTTTTATCCAAATTTCGTTTTTATTCTTCAAACTATAAAATCTGAAAAGGAATTTAACTACCTAATAAAACTTTAATGCTAGTTAAAGACAAAATTTAAAAACTTTAAATCTAATTAAAAACAAAACTTTAAAACTTTAATGTTAACAGGTCATTTACGCTAATGTGATAATTTTTGTTAAAAAAAATTCCTAAATTTAAGTAAATGAAATAAATATTGAACAATCGTTACATTTAACTATTATTGATTAACTATTAGTTAAAACAAAATAGACGTTTAAATTTAACTATTAGTTAAAACAAAATAGACGTTTAAATTATTGCTTTCATTCTATTTCAGTGCTAAATGTTTGCAGAAAAGAAATGGTAATCTAAAAATTTGTTAAATGTTTACAGAAAGGAAATGATAATCTTTATGGCATCTAAAAATTTGTCATTTGATGGAATATTTTTTAGGCTGGAAGTGATTCCTCCTCTTCCGATTCCACTCGTCGATGTCTGGCTGCAAATAGTGAAGGTAATTCAAGTTCAGAGCAGTCATGCGCCGAAACAGTCATTTTTCTCGGACCTTCTGTTAGGTTCATCTTTTTGAACTTTTAAATTCCCATCCTAATGCTTTTTGTATTTCTTATATTTTTAAGAGATTAACTATGAGGCATTTGACCCTCGGAAATTTGTTCACAGGTATACTTTGGATATTGGCATAGAAAATCATTACATCGCAGAATTAGTACCATAAGTTAGCAGGATGAGAGGAAAAAAATTAAATCTGAAAACTTTAAACTTTTCACTTTCTTATTTCTACAATAACATATTACTGTCCATATGTATGCTCATTTAGATTTTTCGACCATTACACAAACGAGATTAGAACGGAAAATGGCCAAAAAAAAAATGGCCAAAACTTTCATGAGGATGTGACTAACAGGATAGATCACATCCTCAACATAGACCATAATCCAATTTGTAAAAAGAAATTTTCGGATAGCTGAAGATTTTTTGGATCATCCTTTTTTTTCGGTCACTTAACATCCGGAAAATGTATGGGTATTTTTTAGTGATGCTCATGTTTGTAACTAAAAAACAGTTCCATTTTGAAGTTGGAATGAAGAGCTAAAGCAAATAGTGTATTAGAAATTAAGTAGTGCCAAATTGATTGAGATTATCAACTTTTATTTCTTACACTCGGATTTTGCGAAATTTAATAATTTTAGAATTTTGCTTGAAGTTTGAGATGAATGATTTAAATTTAAAGGATAGAACCAACTGCTGAACAACAGCCAAAGCGAAAGATAAGTGGAAATGGAATTGATTCGGTAAAACGAAAAATGATCCTGGATTGGATCAAAAATACTCAGGAAAATGGTTACTCTCAACCTACTAAGGTTTATTACTTGCTCAATTGCGCCCATCGTTTACGTGCCTAAATTGCTTGTAATTCCTATAAACAATTAACATATTCATTATTGATACAAAAAAATTTAATTATTTACCTAATTACATATGTAAACTGGTGCTAATTCATTATCACTTAAGTCTATTTTTTAGATTAGTGTTTGTGTGCAGTGTAATGAAGATGACATAGATATGGAAAATATGCAACAGTACGGTTATCGACGACAGTTAGATGATATTCTGGAAGATGACGAAGAAGCAAGCGGATGTCATTCACCACGAAGCTTACCAACCGCTGAACAATTTCTCGAATCTTTCCATAATATTGACACTCTTCAGCAGCCATTGAGTATTCTTAGCTTGGATAAAATTTCCGCTTCAACATCCGGAAAAAGCACATCTGAAAATGTTTATACTTTTTTCTTTTTACACTTTTTTAATTTTTCAAATGCTTATGAGTGTAGTATTACATCATTTTCAAGAATTGATATAATTAACTTCTTACGGCTATAATAGCACCACGTTAGGAACGTAAAAGACGTTGTTCATTATCTGTTTATGTGTAATCAATGCTTATCACATTTAGTTGCTTCGTAAAAAGATTTACAAAATTACTTCTTTATTTTAATTGTTTCATAAGCATTTCATAATTCAGGAAGTGGAAGATGACGATTTAGAACGAGCGATGGCTGCTAGTATCAGTTCCATTCGTTCACATGAAATACTTTCACGATTAAATGATGACTTATCAGAAATTCAATCTGAGGTTAGCGATTAAAATTTTCAAGTTGCAGAATTAAAATGTGTTCACATGGATCTTATTAATTTTTTACAAACAAATCGACAAATGAATCATTAAATTGTTGGAAGGATAAGTAAGCAATGAGATGTTAATTTCAACAAACTGCTAACAAATTATCAGTAATCAAATGAGCTATTTTGATGAAGAAAATAACAAACAAATAGATGGACGGTTGATTTACTAAATAAATAAGCTTTATTATTGCAATCATTAATTCTTGTTTATTTAAATGTATTCCTTGAGCGAAATTTGTTGTTAACCGATCCCGTTTAATTCCTGTTGACCACAAAATTTGAGGGTATAATTACCGCATAATTGGCGATCATTTGGCGCATCGAGCCATTTAAACGACTGTAAATTTGTCCATCTCCAATAGTCCACCATTATGTTTATGTTTAATTTGATACAGGGAGATTCCAAAATCAATGGAAACATTTTGAAATTCAAAAAAAAAAAAAAGATGGCTCATCACAAGTAAGATTAAATACCAAACACACTTTAATGGATTGTTATTAGTTTCAATGGGTCATTTGTTCAGAAAAGAAGAAAATTACAGAAAAGAATACCGCTTAGTTTGATTTTCAAATAAGACATAATGTTGATTTATTGATGACAGTATGAATCGTTGAGAAAGTCATCAATGATAGTTCAGCAATAAAATTTCTTCTTCGATCTTCTTGGAAAATTATTGCCATCTGTTTTTAATCAAAAATCTTTTTCATTATGGTACAGACAAATTAATTATCCCAAAAAGTGTATTTTCAAATTTGTTGGAATTGCGGCAACTTTTTTTTTTCATCTTAAATTTTGCATTCCATATGATAGAAAGACTTTTTAAGAGAGAAGGATGAAATTTTTATATTATCTCAATCATGGACGATATATTCAATTTCCGAGAAATTTAACCATTCTCTCTCGATGATTTACCGATTTGATGAGTTACTGTACTGAAATTCATTTATTTAGTAGTCAAATCACTATGAGTTTAGAGGTTTACAAAATTTCATTGTTAATCTGTTAGAACAAAGCTAATTTATTATTAATAAAAAACAAGGCTGCAATGCTTTATCCATCCGTTCCGTCAATCAAAAATCTCTTCCTCATGAAATTAATCAAATTAGGTAAATTCATCACTTCATTTCCGCATATAGATAAGTCTTTAAAAGGATTTTTCACTATTTTGTAAATTTTTTACTATTAATATTTTTGAGATTTTCAATTCCACTCTCTAACACTTTATAGTTGAAAAACAACATCCCAAGCGCATTTTTTAAGCACGAATGGTTCTTCTATTTGAAATTAATCCATCCGATAGTACATTAGCTACAAAAAATTTGTAAAAACTTTTAATTACAAAAAAAACAGAATGAGAATGAAATGATTGTCAAATGACTTGTCAAGTGTTCTTACCGTCTTGCAGACGGGTCTGAAAATAAATTTTTGTTCAGAGATTTTTGATCATTAAAAACGCAGAGACATTCAGTGAAAGTTACCAAACGAAAATGAAAAATTAGCCGAATTAATAAATTAATTCAAGAAAACGGTATTATTTAAGCTACGAAGTTTTAAATTATCGTAAAAATAGGCATCTGGATATGCAAAAAATCAATTTAATTTGAAGCTCATTACTAGAAATCATTGAAACCAGTTTTCGATTTCGTATCCAAATCTTGATCAAATATCATAAAATAAAATTTAAAAGAAGAGTATTGAAAAACTAAATGTGATTGATTAAGAATGACATCTTATAGCATTAGATATGCTGATAATAAATAAAATTTACGGATCTGTCCTTCTCATTTCATTCTTTTCTTCATTCCTTCTCATCGATAAATAAATTAGAAATTTAACTCGATTATTTAATTCGAACTGGCGCTGATTCGCAGTGATAAAGAACGAAAATATAAAAATAATTAATTAAATTTTCATGGTCAATACCGGAAAAAAATTTCACCGTTCATTTACACTTATTTTCCTCAAAAAAATTATTCCTTTATTTTAAAATTTTAGGATACCATCCACATATGCAAATTTTATTACAGAATGAGTCTTTAAATATAAATTTAAATTTAAACCTATAAATTTCTTTATAAACAATGAAATATTGATTGCGAAGCAATGCTGTTCGCGCGGAACTTTGAGAAAGGAAATCTTTACATCAATCCGAGAGAAAATTACACCAAAATGAGAGAAGTAATTACTTATAGACATGAAAATATAGCCTTGAAAATCGAACATAACATGGATGATTTGTTTGTAGAATATATTGGAAAATGATAGTTCATTGTTGGGAATTTATGGAGGAGCTGGAAACTTGAAACCGGAAACTCATACGGATGACAAATTACGCCAGTTTACTGAAACCAACGAGAAGAAAAAGAAGAAAAAATTCGTTCCATTAAGCTGTTGCCGAAGTGCCATGGTTAGTTAAAAGTTTCATTAGCGGGAGCGTGGATATAATTAAAGGGAGGAAAAAGATATTCCAATATGTTAGATGGAAATTTAAAGATTAATTGATGTTTGATAGTTTTGTAAAAATATGCAACGCACTTCTACCAATATTTCATCATTATCTTATCTTCATTTCTTTTTTTTTCTTTTATAAGATTTTGCCGAATTGCGTTTTGTCGGGAAATTCTTGAAAAATGCTATAATCTTTTTTCTTTTTCAGCTTTACTATTTATCATTTCTTACTAAAACTGTTTCAGCTTTCATCGTCAAGTAGTGGTGGTTATGGACAAACTGCTGCTCTAAAAACAATAGAGAAACAGGATGTACAGGAAAGTAATCAATTAGCAAGCAGTAGTTTTCCGCCATCTTTATTGGATCAACCAATGATCATCGTGAAAAATGGCAATAGTATCGCAATGAGTAGTACCACAACAGTACCACGATCCACTACACATCCATTGAACAATTATACTGCTAAGAAGTATGTTCCTTAAAGTACCGCTAAGCAATTATTCTGCTAGCAAGCATTGCTTTTTTAAAATTGAACCACTGAGAGCAGGACTGTCATGTACAGTATTATTAATTGAACGTTTTTTTTTGCAGTAATCGGCCAGAAGCACTGTTGAAAAGTAAGTTACCACGACGGACTGGAGAAAATAGCATACGTAAAGTTTCTCCTGAAAAGCAACCAGTGTTACTGGAACGTACGCCACTACAGTACTTTGGTGCTGCTAAAAGTTCACGTCGTGATTCATTTGACTCAAAAAAAGAAACTAAGAAAGGGTAACTTTCTCGAAAAAAATTGATTTTTTATAAAGTAATTATAATTTTGAAAATCATTTACAAGTTTTGAATTTTTTAGCAAGTTTTTTTTTAAACTATGAAAAGTTTAATAACACCTTATTGTGAAAGCTGTTTTATATAATTATCAGCCAAAGTTAAACTATCGAATCATCAACAATCCAACAAATGATATATAAACTGGTAAAATTAATTTATGAGTGAAGCTTTATGAATATGTCACTATTCCACAAGAATAATGAGATAGCCTTGGTGCATGAATTTTAAATTACTCAGTAATTTATTGCAGAAAACGCATTATTGAAAGACGAAATTCAACTGATGCCAATCAAAGAACAACAAATTTTGTGCCCTCACCTTATTCCATGGCATGCTTTTCGTGATATTTATGATGCAATTATCGAGTAATTAAATTAGCGAGCATCGCTTCAATGAATGACTTCCAAACTACTAATTAAAGAATTATTGCCTGCTGTTTCTGATCAAATTACTAATTAAATTAGTGAATGAATAATGGCTACCAGATGGTTTAAATTTCAGGTAACTGATGCAAAGCAAGATACGGGAGCGTATTCATCAGGCCATGGTAGCGATGAAAATGGTTCAATCTATAGTCGACCACCTTTGACTTTATTATCACCTCGTTCCAATCGACCTCGAAATCGCGAAAGTTTTTCGGCCAGCAGCGGTTATGAAAGTGCCACCGGTGTTGATGTTGTTAAAAATTATGGTAAATCATTTTCTTGATAAAATTTCCTCCCTTATTCTTATCTTAATTTTGTCTCCCAATCTTTCGACAATTTTAACTGCGAGAAGCAAAAAGGTCAAAAAAAGAGATCTCTAAAGCCTTCGAATGTTTTGTTATTTCTAAAGCCTAAAAAAATCGTACACGAAATTTGATTAAAACCTGAATTTATTCTTGAAACTTTCAGGATCACTTTCAAAAAAACGACTTCTCGAACTATCACAGACTTATTCTTCAAATAAAGTAAGCAATTAATAAATGGGCTTATTTTCGGAAGTTTTCGATTATATATATCCTTCAAAAGAATCCTAAGGCTTGAAAAAGTTTTCTACTTTCGAAGTAGAAAATTTTTTCAAGTCTTAGGATTCTCCTCCAATTTTGGTCAGTCAGGAGACATAAAAAGGATAGAATTCAGATAATCCATGAAAATCAAATATTGATTTTTACGAGCTTTCAATAAAAATTTTGTATTTTCAGCATGCATTATTGATGGATAAGCGAGTTAATTTAATGATCAGACGACAGAATCGCCTTCGTGATGACTTACATGAAGCGAAACGTCTGTTAGGTGTTGCAGATGAGCATTTCCTTACTGCATCCACGTCTAGTCTTCAGGGAGCCACGTTATTAGAAGCGCTTACTCAGGTTAATCCATCTTTTGCATAATATTTCAAGGATCTATCATGAATAAATAAATAAATTTAATAATAATTGTTGATGAAAATTGTTTAAAAATGGCTTTAACATTTGCTAATTTTACTTCTATTCTATTGTTCTTCTGAAAAATGCGTAAATTTGAATATGAAATAATTCTTTCAGGAAACGCGAATTTTGGAGAAACGTTTGATAGCATGCCGTAATCATGCAATGATCGTAACGTGCCTTTTGTGATTTTTCGGCGTGATCTCATGTTGATATTTTTATATATGTATATATAGTGAATGATATTTCTTTTTGCTACTATCGTTTGTTATCTTTCCTTATTGATATAATATGCAGATTGTGTAAAGTTCAAAAATCTAATTGTAATCAATTAATAAATATTGTTAAAAGAGATTAAAAAATAGAAAAATGAAGAATAATGTAGTAAAATAATATTCAAATTATGTGAATTCAATTTATCCGTATAATGGAAGGAAGAAAAGAATCATATTTCTAGTTTTCTATGAAATAATCGATAAATTGAAATTTTGAAATGGAATTAGGATAAGAAATTCTGCATTGAACAGGAAGAAATTGGTATCCGAAAATAGTGGAATTTTCTTGGCTGGGAAAATAAGCTCTGAAATGAGCAGGCACAGCGAAAAGCTTCTGCTTTCATATTTAAGCGTTACGACCGAATTTCGTTGCAATGTTTATTTTATATATCAAAACTAAATATCAAACTGATTCTTATCGGTGAGTGAAATGAAAAGGGGACAGATTCAATTTCTAGTATGCAAAGCCAAAAATACGGGACAGATTCAACTTTAGTATGCAAGGCCAAGAATAGATTTGCAGATTTATATATAGAGACAGGTCCTTGAAGTGCATAATATGGATGGCGCAAATGTACTATGGGCTATGGAAGGCTGTAGTAGACAGGATAAGTGGACAAAGGAAGCTCTTTTGTGCTAGAAGACAGATCTCCTGAGAGATCAGTGAAAGGTAGTTTATCTGATCTACTAATGAATTTGACCTTCATTTTCCATTACCCGATGTACTGTTTGTCTAAACTTTTTCACTTCTTAACTTAACATATATGAAGTATTCCTCAGTGTTCTTCATTGGGTCAAAGTTATACGTTCATCGTTTTAACGTCAAATGCAAACATTAAAACATTCAGAATGCAAGAATGCAAGGAAGTGCACAAATATGATTGAGGTTGGCGGAAAAGTAACTTACCAAAATGCGCATACGATTGAAGCTGGCAGAAAAATCACTTTCCGTATGTACCGGCAAAAATATGTCTGCTGCAATTTGAAATCGTGGGATATATGTTTTCACAAACTGAAAGTGTGTGAGGATGGGATTGCGGGGGAGTGGGGCCACGACGTGTTTCCGTCGTGATTTAACTCCGTGTGCGTGTATAGGTGGATGTTTACTTCAAGCGTAGGATTGTGTCACACCAAGTTTATTACTGAGAATAATTTTTGAGTTTTGTTGCAGAGCGAAAATATATTTTCACTTAAGTTCATTTCTGAAGAATATTCAGATTTATTGGACTCCTATTGGTATTAACATTTCCCGACTAGATTAAACATCGTTGTCTGTACTGATTTCGGCTTCCTCTTTATCATCTTCAAGATTTTAGGCTTAAAATTTATTAACTTTACTTTTCTTCATGATTTTGTTCATGACAAATTAGTTAAAGTTTTGAAGGGAATATTGAAACATAAAAATTAAAGATGTGAATAGTCGATAGATGTCTCTGCTGTCTTCAGCTAGCACAACCAATTTGCCTTAATTATTCTTGGTTACAAAACAAAATGGAAGTCTGTTTGTGGTAATGAGATAAAAGTATGATGTGAATTTAGAGGTATCCGTAGTTGTACATATTCTCAAGTATAACGTGAATTTAGAAGTATCCATAATTATACATATTAATAATTCTCATTGCAGTTTTAACAATGAGCAGTGATGCATCAGGTGAGGATGCTGATTCGATATCGGATGTCGAAATGAAACGAACTGCTTCTTCTGATGATGAAGTTAAGGTAATTAGAAATTACATGTAAAATGTCCAACGACATCTTTTTATCAATAATTTCGTGGTGTTATAAAATTAAATGGCGATGTATTACAGATATCTTTATCGGATCTATTTTTTATGGTATTTAGCTTTTTTTTTATAATGTTTTAATTATGTTTATTTTGTAATCTTTTATAATGATGTTTCCTTATTCTAATGATTATTTATAGCGGTATTTAAAAAACCTCGGTGATTTTTCCATAAGAAATAACAAAGCATTATTTATAATTTTTTTTAATTTTGTCGATATTTTTGCTATATTCACAACTTTCCGGTGTTTCAGAATTCATCAGCAAAAGGTAAATCGAATTCGGACAGTGAAGATAATAAACAAACAAAAGCAAGGCGTTCCAGCCGGGCTACTCATCAAAACAAAAAAGTTATAGAGAGTGGTGGGTTCTTAAATTCAATTTTTAAACCAATTCTATGAACAATTGTTAAAAATTTCAATTCACGAGCATAAGATGGATTGTAGAATTTCTCTGGAATGGAATAAAAGTGGATTTGTTGTTATCTTCTGAATTGTTGGAATTTAGTTGTTAATGATGCTCGTCTTTATCTCTGGTTGATATCCATTCTCTGTTCCGAAAGAGCCTGTCATGTTGATTTGAGTGATTCACTTCTTCTATAATCTTATAGATTCCAAGGGCCAATTTTTGTACTATTTTTCAGGGACATCGGAAGAAGATTCGGATTCGGATGCGGAAGCTGCAACAAGCAGAAAACGTAAAACCGAAAAAAAATTTAGAGGCCGTAATAAAAAAGCACGGGCGCAAACTGATAGCGATGAAGATAGCAGTGATGACAGTGACAAAGTAAGCGGAAGTGCCGCAGTCTAATAATTTAATTCCCAAGCCTATGTAAAATTTTTTGATGATCGATCTAGTTCCTATGCAAGCGCGCAAGCAGCACTTAAAATGAAGCAAAATTAGCAGTATTACTCAGTTATCACCAAAAATTGGTTTTAGAAGTCGTTGGTTGATGAGTACGATGATGATATGTTCTTGGATGAAGAAGATCGGCGTCGATTAGAAGAAATGACGGAAAAAGATCGGGAAGCTGAAATTTTCAAACGTGTTGAGCAACGGGAAATTTTACGTGCAAGGTATTTCATCTTGTGAAATTTAGCTAATTTCAGATCTCATGCAGAATTTCTATTTGCGATAAGAAATAATCTTCGGTGTGGTGAATCTGATAAAAAGAACAAATGATTTATTCATTTTTTATTCACGGTTATAACTATTAACATTTTCATATTTCAGGCATGCAATCCAAAAGAAAATTAAAGCTCAAAAAGAAGATAACGCAGGTCTGTCAAAAAAAGAGAAAAAAGAGAGGAAGAAGAAGGAAAAAGAAAAAAAGCGAGAAGGTTTGACCATGATTGAATAATTTGGTTCATTGCTTCATTTGCTAGAGCGAAGAATTTCTTTCAGTTTATAAATTATTGCAGCTAGAAAAAAGATCGCTGAAGGTGATGTCGGTGAAAGAAATGGTGCAGATGGAAGTGTAGGTCCGTTCTTTATTAGTTATATGAAAGAATTAAATCTTTTAAAGAGAGTAAAATCTTCAGTAAAAAGTAGTGTTTGGTGTTTGATGATGAGGCATTATTTTAGTACATTGTGTAAATGTGCAGAAGAATTGGGATTTTTTCCTCTTCCACAATAGCAATAATAGAATGAATTAAATTGATGAACGTGGGAAATGTCTAAATTAAATTGTTTAATAAAAATTAAGTGCTTTAAGGGAATGTGATTGAAATTCATTTAGAAAAAGAATAAAAGAAAAAAAGCCGTATGCTTAGTGAAAATGAATCATATGAAAACAATAAGCTGAAGCAGATAAAAAGGTTGGGAGTGATAGGATAAATTTTGTAAATTTAGATAAGGTTAGTCATAACCATGTCGTAAAACTTCAATAAGAGAATAAAAGAAAGGTGCGAATTATGGCGCAGAAATCGATTTTCTGTGCAATCTGTTTTTTAATTGAATTCTCTTTTTACTATTACTGCTTTTTCAAATAAATACGCTTATGTTTGCAATTTTCAGCACTTCTGCATGCGGGTTCTGCTAGTGATGATAAGGATAATAGCGATGAATATGATGAATTTCAACGTCCATCAGAAATTCAGAAAAAGCAGAAACAAAAAAATGCAATGGCCGATCTTGTTAGTCGACGAAAAGAAAAACAAGAAGGTTTGTTCTATTACACTTATAACATGCACTTTTCCAAATTACATAGTAATTTTCACATTTAACATACAATTCTCTATAGCAACTGGAACTTCTGTACGGTTCATGAAGTGGGTCAAATTAGAATATTATAATTTTAGAATTTTTTAATTCCAGCTGCGCAGAAGAAAAAGACCCAGTCACATAAGTCTGAATTGGATATCGACGAAGTATTTGGAAATGATGGTAGCGATGATGATTACGAAAAGAGTTCCAGCTCATCAAGTCGCTCGAGCAGTAGGTCTACAAGCAGGAGTACAAGTAAAAGTAGAACTCGCAGTCCGTCGCCAGAGAAAAAAAGAGAGGTGGGTTACTTGGGTTTTATGTCGTGTTATGCCTTTTTATGTTTGAAAGTGTTTTCGAAATGATGATGTAAGAAACTTATAATTTTGTGTTTAAAGTTACAAAACTGATGTTTTCTTGAATAGAATAAGATATTAACTCGTAATAGATCATTATGTTTGCTATGTTTCCTGATGTTGCAGAGTTAATATAATGACGGTCGTTATTTGTGTCAAATATTTTTTGCTAATGGGAAATTCCTTTAAATTTTTGCCAAAGTTTTAGGAATTGATCAGATTTCGTCATTCCTTTAAATTTTTGCCAAAGTTTTTTTAGGAATTGGTCAGATATGCAGCATTATAAGGCTTAATAGTGATAAATTCAATGTGAATCATTCATTATTAACTACACTTATGGCATACATGCAGGTGTCATTTTTTTACAGGTGAATTGCCTTGCTGACTTAGCAAGGATACGTTTATCTCGTTTCAAAATTTCTAAAATTGTTCATGCACCTTTTTTCAACAAGACGGTAATTGGTTGCTTTGTTCGCATCGGTATCGGAAGAAATAAAGAAGGCCGAAGCGTTTATCGTGTATGATTTAATAATATACTTGACTGTCTGTTTATTTTGCATTACTGAAATAAAG